ACTAGTAGCCACTTGTTATTATCATTATCGATATTATGAAAACGTGTGATTATAAGCGATCAAAAAGCCAATCGAAGGATTCCATTTAGGTCTATTGCTCATTCCAAGTACATGGAATGTTAATACGCATTCGGTATAAGGAATGATATTATTTTTCAGCAACGCCTAATGTCTCAACCAGCGACGGCGGTTGCCCCCGAGTCGGTGTATTTTACGATGTTCTATAGATTTTTCCTCCTCACGCCTCGTTTTATCGCAGCACTGACGTTATTAATTATAGTCTATTTTTTCTCTGTACCTACCTCTGATCCTCGCTTTTTCTTCTATACAACTACGCTGTTTTTAAGAGATGATTTTTCTTGAAAAATACGTATAGGTGTATACACGACAGTCGACAGAGCGCGGGTGACACGCATATCTACATATTGAAGAAGCAATTTGTTTTTTTTTAAATTTTTTTTATTACTTTTATATTATTGTTTATTATGTTTTACATTTCACCAATAATTTAAAAGGGCCGTGCCGTCACGCCGTTCGTCAACTGATGATTAAATATTATAGTATATTTTTCATATTTTTTTTTTTAACGGTACCTCATTAACGCATCTATATAAAACGGCAAGTTTTGATTACGCTCGACGTCCCAAGACACACGGACGGCGCGCAGGCGTTTTACTAAAAAGTATTACATTTTATGACACTCGTCGCAACGTTTGAAATAAAATATCAAAAAAAATAAAAAAAATACGACTATATACGGTGTATCACTTGAATGGTAACACGCGAAATATTTCAGATCAAAATAGAATTCTCTATAGAAATATTCAATCAAATTTCTTCACTTTTAAAAGTCGCGCGTTTTTTAAAAATGATGAAAAAAATCAAATTATTTAATAGGTTGTTTATTTTGAACTTTTAGTTGGCTGTATCATGTGATTTTTAAAACAGAAAAAAAACCGTATTCGTCACTTGTCCAAAAATAATAGGTAATATTGTATTTAATATATTAAATAATAATTTTATGTTAAAAATAATTGGTTTCGTTTAATTTCACATATACCTGCGCACTACGAGAATTAAAATATTGAAAAATAGTATAAAAATATAATGTATTCTTCTAAAAAATCTTCTTAAAAAAAAAAACCGTCATTCAATATGAGATGAGTCCGTTCGACTGAAATGTTTCTTGTTACCATTTGAGTGAAACTGTGCATCATACATTTTACCAAATCATTTTGTTTTGATGAATCTAGTTCAGACATAATAAACAAGATGTTTCGTATATGAGACTATAACCAACTACAATAAACAATGATTTTGGTGTAATTAAAATTTCTCGAGTGCCGATAAAATAAAAACCCAATTAAAAAATAATATAAAAAACAAATAATATGTTTCGTTTAACGTCGACATTCCAAAATATATATACATTATATACTTTATATTAGGTATAAATAATTTTATACCTCACACAATTTACGTTTACCAGAGTTCGAACACAAATATTTAGTGGAATAAAGGCTTGAGTTGATTTTTGGAATTTTTTTTTTTATAATTTTGTCTTCTGTAATTTGTATCTTTCTATTTTTTAGCCTGAGTTGCAAATGTGTATGTATTTAAAAAATATTGTATACAGTAATTAATATTTAGATTTTAAAAAATTGAATTTACTTATATTAAAAATTATACAAAAAACTCTTCCCTGGAACAAAAAAGAAAATAGCGTTGATAGTTCATTGCAGAATACAGGCTATATCACGGAAATCTAGCGCCTAAAATAATGTAATTATTAAATGGTTAACAATCATGTTTTGTTATTTTTTAGTTTTAAAACAAAATATAAAGTAGAGGAATCATAACTCTAGAAATTATTACATAGGTAGTAAAAACAACCTTATATGGTAACTAAATTGAACAGACAAAAGTAATTTCATGTGTCAGATCTCCGTGTTACGCCCTGTATGTAGAAGTACTACACTTAGTTTTTGATCCCGGGATGAGTAGCTATCAGTTTTTCAAATATAATGTGTTTTCTTTTTTTTTTGTTTTTATATTTTCTCTCTACTTTTTTTGGGTCAGTGAACACGCGACAACGACGGCGTGGAAAAAGTTTCGTTGAGAGACTTTTGCAATGTAATGTACAGAACGCGTGTATAGGCAATCGAACGTATACATGCCAGACAGTATATAATAATATATTTTGAAGGGCACTTTTATTATTTTTCATTTCGGTATAATATTTGATGACAAGAAAAAAAAACTGAAGGTAGAACTGATAGAAGAAACGAAATAAAATAATTTATTATTTATATACAATTTTAATTCCTTTTCATCATTTTAACGACCCATAAATTGTGCAAATGCTATATTGACGATTACAGGCTAGAACGGAGTTGAGCTAAGTGGAACACAGAAGTAAGACTTAATCTAAGAGCTGGGCTAAGCTATATATTTCATTAAACTGGACCAGCCCGGTCAAGACTAACATTTGACATTTACTATTGGGCGACTACGAGCTTCAAAATTTAGGTTCATACGCGAATCTAGTGCATACCTATAATAACTCTTGTTACAGTTTTGGATACTTTTATTTCTTGAATGTACTCAAACTCGATTTTTTTAATTTCCAATACCCATATATAGACTCCAAACAAAGCCTGGGGGATAAAATGTTTTGTATACACGGTTTTAGTGCGCTTTTTGGTTTTGGGGGTTTCAATATTCAGGTTACAATTTTTTTCGGAAGTATAGTATAAATAGTTGTAGTTTTCTAATAGTTTTTAAGAATTTATTATATTACAAAGAATATCTCTATAATATAAAAATTATACGATGGGTTAAATATATTTACGGGGGAAGAGGGTTTAAACAATTTGTTCATATGAAACCTAAAGTATACCAACCAAAAACGTTATTGCTATACCCGCATTTGTGAAGTAATAATACTGATAGTATGTATATGTATTGTCCATTTAAAGTAAAATTTTTGGCGTATTTCAAAAAAAAAAAAAAAAAAACTATTTTATTTTCAATATTGGTACGCGTTTATTGAAAATAATAATAATACGAACGCACGCACGCACGCACGGGACAATTTATGTGAAAATCCTCTTATATAAATATACGAGTTCTATCCTAAAATATCCTATTGCTATTTGCCGTTTCAAATCTGTGAGATTTAAAAAGGATGAGCGTAAAAAAAACCTATACATTTAATTTTTTCCCCATCACTTTTTTTTATCGTGTTCTTTAAATGTCCAAAATCTTTATTTAAAACTATGATATTAAAATATTTCCGGTTCTTTTCTCAACTTGTTAAGATAAAATTATTGTTATTATTATTATTATTATTGTTTTTGAAGTTTTTCCATAATTCGACTGTGATTGCCACATATTATAATTTGGACCCAGCTATTATGCTATAATGAATTAATGAATTATTATAATAATATTAACCCATACGTTTAATATACATAATATAGTAAATCAATTAATTGTTTCATTTCCTAACTAACGGTAAAATTTAATTGACTTATTGACTTGAGTTATAATATATATATTTTTTGTCTTAACATGTTTGGTTAGGTTGTAACTTGCTTTATAACAGTAAAGATAATTACAAAAAAAAATACACCCTGAGTTTGTGATTTTTTTTAATTTTTTTTTTTTGAAATCAGGATAAACTGTATTATTTAGAAAATTAAAAAAAAAAAATTGAAATTATCACTTAACGTGGTATGTATTGTTCATAATTACGTACTATGAAAAAAAAAAAATTATATTGATTTAAATTTAAAAAAATCAAAGGTTAAATGTTAATATTTTAATACATATCTCTTGAAAATCACTTTAATCGAAATGGACGTTATGGCAATTAAAATTTTTAAAACAAAACATGAAACTATGGAATTTTATAGACATTTATTAAGTACACACAATATTCCGTTTAAACTATTAGCCGCGCGTTTGACTATTAAAACGAGACGGCCTTTGTTGCAAATTGTTTAACTTGTCGTATTTACATATATAGAGCTGCCGCTTATAAAATACATTTTTAAACAATACGATTTTAATATCAAAACCACATTATTACAGTATACTTTAGCGAAAATTATATGAGACATAAATCAAAAACCAACAACTTTCAATGGCAGAAATTAACTGACATTTTATACGCAGTGTTGTATGTTATGCCATTTAACGGTCTTTAGTACAGATTTGTCAAAATAAAAAAAATCATCGTAAAGTAAAAATATAAAGCATAAAATATTGTCATTTACAGGCTTGGTTTCTAAATTTAGACACAGGCGTAATTTTATTATTAAAGTAGAATCAAAATATATTTTTTTACCGTATATTTCCCCGAAAAGCAGTTGAGTTCAGGAGACCACCACTGTATAGAAGATACCTAAATAATATTAATAGTAGTGATGAAGACAGGGGCGGGTCAAAGAATTTCCAATGAGAAGTGACATTCTGAATACTAATAACGAGTCAAGAGCAAATCGTAAAATTTTCTTCTGTTTTTCGTAACTAAATAATGATAATTTAAAAGCTGGATCCAAAAAATTCAATTTTGTTTAATAAATAAAACTATTTTTGTAACTTTACTAAAATGCATAATTTCATGGTAAAATTACTTTAAATATAAACACTGGTCTTTGTTTTATAAGCCAATATAAGGGATCCCTAACAAACTCCACATTCGCATGCCATTGAATGGAGTAAAACAAAACAAGACAAATTAGTTGTAGTGAATAAAATTGGCAAAGGAGAATTTTCGAAGAGTATTGAATGCTAGGAAGAAGAAAAAAATGTCAAAATACAAAGGCTATAAATACCGAATAGTCTTTTAAATCCCATAAAATAAATAAATTCCTCACACAAAAAAAACCCCCCTGAAATATGCCTGATCGTGATAATGATGTTAAACTTTGTGTTGTGGTTGTAAAAATTATACTATTTAAATGATTTAAACTAAAATAAACTTTCGAGTTTAACATAATGTCAATACAGCAACGATGGTGAAAAAAATAAATGATGTTTAAAAACTTTATTGACTATTGACGCATGTAAACACTTGAGTGAATAACTTCTGTAGTAATTGGGTTATCTGTAGCTATTGCAGTCGAACACCGTCCCGAGTTTTTTCTATAGATTCGGCGGATTGGACATAATTTTTTACTATCGACGGTACATACACGTATTGAATCGCGGTTTATAGTAGTGGTTAAAGTAATAAAGTATATCGGATATACAGCCAACGAAATTATTCAGACGATATACTATCGTAAATTATTGCAGGGATTCGTCCTTATCGCGTTTATTGTCCGCTTTGTTCGGCTGGTCCGTAAGAGTTATTCACGAAAATTATTTAAACTTTCGACAGTCAAACGTATTTTTCAGTATAGGTACCTTCATCACAAATATCTGATTATGATTAAACTTCGAAAAAATAAATGCATATTATTAAATTTTTTTTATGCTTTTTTGAGGATTCGCGCGTGTTAAACTACACTCACGAATTGATTACCAAGCGGTAAACCGGCGAGACGATTTTAATCGAGTTTTTTAATACTTCTCATGGGTATATTTATCGGTTATCGTGGCGTCATATTTTAGATAATAATATGTAATAATTTCACTTCATTTTAAAGTTGGGAGTCATGTGTCCTTATAAAACTTTTTTCCTCGTCAAATTTTCAATCTGCTAAAATACCGGATTTATTATTGATATCAAGCCTTATCAATTCTATCCCCTCACACCGCAACCATGTCAGTTGGTTTTCCATCAGTTGCATTCAGAATAAATTAGATATGTACGATTTTCGAGGACCACCAAAATACACACCTAGGACTTCTAATCTGATTAATTATCAAATCTAATAAACATGCAGAGTATTACAAACTCATAGAGTTATGGCGACACAACTATAGTTTATCATGAAATCGTCATAAATCTGTAGACTTAAACCTTATGTAGTCCATCAAAGTATAAATAATAAGAATTAGATGAGTTTCTTTTGTCAGTTTTTGCCCTATACTATATATATTCTACATCATTATTCTTCTTCTCGTCATCAAAAATCCGATTGGTTGCTGTAATCTTCACGCATCTCTTTCATAAATTCTTAAATCATTGAAACTATCTTTATCCGTGTCTATCATAATTATTGTACTCTGTCCTCCATTCTTGGCTTGTTCCTCATCCGATATAATCTAGTACGTCATCTTTGGTGATGGTCTTCGTCAAACTATCGTGATCTTATAGACACCTCAACATTCTCACCATATTAACTTAAATATTATGCCAAATTTCTCATACCCCCCATTCCTTATTTATTCTAATTAGTTCAAAACATTTTGTGACAGGATCGTATTTTAAAATACTGTTCATTTTTATTTCATTTTTATATGGTAAATTTAAAGACAATACTATTTTTCAAAATAGATCAGACAAAAGAAAAACTATCCATATAGAACTGGTTTTATTTTTTCCCAGAATTTGGTTGAACTAACAACTATATAGCTATTTTCTCTATTTTTTTATCTTTATTTCTTTCCTCGAAAGTATCAGTTAATAAACTAAAGTTATTTAAAAAAAATAAAGACAAATTTTCGACAGTTTTTCGAGAAAAATATCCATCCACGTGAATATTATATACAGATCAAATCGACAAGAGACAAACATATCAAGGCGCGCACTGATAATAAACAATATTTAGGTACTTACATAATATAATAAATAATAATAATAATAATATACGTAAAGAAAATCTAACTTGTAAATGCACGGAGATAATAAACTGGAAAATGATTTCTCTTTTCAGACATTAAGAGTACGACGACGATGACAATAATACGCACCGTTATCGGTTATAATATAATGTATAGAGTTCGACTTTTCCGACGACGACATCAATGGTCCGATAACGAAATGCTCCCCCACCCCATATTTTATATATACTTATAGCATATTATATTTACCCTTTTGACGTTATGTTTTTGATTTTTTTTTTTTTTTATTCCTGTTCGACAAAAGCCACAAACAATTCTATACTTCTCTGTTTCGAAATAGACATTTTTTTAGATTATGAGTGAAACGAGAAATGTATTAGTTTGAAAATGATGTTAATTTTATTTTTATTTTTATTTTAAAATGTAAATAAGAATTCTGCAAGAAATCTTGTTTCTATATATCAATGAGTGTAGCACCTTTTTTGAAAGAGAATTTTATCTTATTAGTAAATATAAGGTGGTTATTTTTTGAATATTCAAATAGTTTTAGTAATAATTCGGAAAAATCGGGTAAAAATGTAAGAAAACCAGGAAAATTTACAAAAATAATGTTTTTATTATTTAAAATTTTATTTTTTGTTGTAATTCTGTTAAAAATATTCGTAGAGATTCATAGAAATCAAATATTCTCCTTATATAGACGTAGTAAAATTTTAAAATATTTTTATCATTTTTAAGGTACTTATAAATATTTAAACTTTGCTAGTTTTATTCGGTAGGTATTTTGTGGATAAAATCGTTAGATCAAACAGAAATGCTTTAACATTTAACAGGAGATTTATTATAAATTTTACTTAGTGGTCAATAAGAAAAAATTGAGTTTAATGTAATATTGACAAAAAACGTAAATATTACGGCCTTTTAAAAAATGTATTACTGAACACAGAATCGTTTTTCATTAGTAATGATTAATCGTTGCATGCATACAATTTCTCTCTATATCCTACCTTCTCAATTTCTCATCTACAATAGGGGCCTATTCATCATGCGAAATATGCCCGTTTTATTTTTCTTTAATAACACTATTGTTGCTTGAGACAAAAATAGATATAATAAGTAATCAAGTAGATACCGAATTTTTCTTTTTTTCTATGGACACTTTTTAATGCCTCCTAGACAGGCTGACCATATTTTAAGATCTGTTCTGGACGTATGATTGTCTGGGTTTTTCAAACTTTACAGCATTCCATTGTCATCACATCATTCGGTCTCGCATCATTCTGTCCGTTATTTTTTTTTTTATGAAAAACCGCAACTGCGCGAGATGATTATTTTTTATATCATGTGGAAAAATAACACTTTCATTTTAGAAAAAAAAAAAAATAATAATAATAATAATAATAAATACACTGCAAATAACAAAAAATTATATTGATAACAAATATTCTATCCGGCTTTATTATGTTTGCTAGAAATCACGGTCTGCTACAGTTTCGGTCGGGAGAATAATCGCACCTACCCGACAAGCGAACAGAATGAAAAAAAACTTTACTATAATTTTATTAAAAAAGTTTTTTTTTTTTAATATGGTCACTTTACTCCAAGGGTCCATGCTCGCACGGTCTACACAGAAAACATATTTGTCACGTGTGCCAGTTTCGTTCCGAAAAGACATACGCAATTAACGTGCACCGAAACAAAAAAAAAAAAAAAAAAAAAAAAACAAAAAAAAAAGTGGTAATAGGTAAACGTATGCCACATTACGTAGGCTTTAAAATAAGATTTCAGAATAGTACAATGTTATACACAGTTATACGTGTATATGCAAAATTATGTTACGTCGATTATTCAGCAAAACTTCGAAAATCGATTTTAACAAATTTTACAGGAGAATCGAAAAAAATTGTTGGTAGACATAAAGACGTACAAAAAAAAAAACTGTTGAAATTTCGACTATTTTTCTGGATAGCCGACGATATGACGTATAATTTTGGTCACTAGAAAAAACGATACTACGCACATAATTTATACATACATAATGTACACGATTATGTAACTTTTTAACATTTAAATAAGAATGCGATGAACGACGACAATAGTGCTATTATTGTTTAGAATAGCTCGGAACGTTTAAGTACCAACAATTTGCATAAACGTATCATTTAAGATCTTACAACAAAATATACGATACAAACATGCGATGATTATCGGGACGATATGCGAAACATGAATTTATTTATATATGTTATAAAACTATACACAAATATACAAGTATAAAAATTAGAAAAACATTTGAAAATATAATACAACATTATAAAAGAAAAGATAAATTAAATTTGAACGCTATTATATAATATTTTTTCGTATCTTCTTTACGTATCTAATAAAAATCAAACGTTAATAATCTTCTCAAACAAATGTGAACAAATTTGTTTACAGTATAGAGGATTATTCGTTTTTTTTTTACTTCTAAACGTTCAATAAAACAATATTTCATCAACACAGTTTTCGTCTGGAGTTCCAAATATTAATATTCATAATCTTTAAATATTAATCATATAAATATGAATATAACAAATATTTTTACTCTCAATAAATCAGTAAGCGAGTTCGTACAGAATTAAAACGGAATACGATAAACGTATGGAACGAATTTTCTAATATTTGCATCAAACCATCATAACAGTGTTATACTTTCCGAAAGATTATATATAAATAAGTACAAAGTCTCACGCCTTGTCGATTATGACGTATCAGTATTAATTTTATTCGATTCTAGTGTTAGTTAACTATTAAGTTAAAGTGGTGGGAAGGATATAGAGCCCCCTAAAAATCGGCGATCATTCTTCTAGTATGTTCTCCTATCTTCGATACTCGCCCTGATTTTTCTATCTTTCTCTCCCCCTGTCTTTCGTTATTTAATCGCCCAGATTGATTTGGAACTTTCCGATTGAATCGTCCGCTTTGGTCATCTGTTTTATACATTCAAGCGCCAAGTATCCTTTTGCGATACGCGATGGATCTTCTCTTTAACGGCCCTTCACGTTTGGTAACATAATATTATGGCCAATCCCGGTTTTCTCGTAAAACTATTGTAACTGTTTTTCTTTCCAATACCAGAGTATTACCTGCTAGGTATATTATTTTAACACTCTTCGTTTGTTATACGGTCCGGTCTATTTCCTTAACGTTCTTCTTCGTTGCAGCGATATAGTAATCCCGATAAATGTTTACACATTTCGACGAGTCTATCGTGCATGCGACTCGAGTGTCGCTTTTACCTCTTTATTCCGCCAGTCGAACCGGACACAATGTAATAATGCTGCAATGTGGGGATTCATACATTATATAATAACAATATTATCGTACGTGTACGCAAACACAATATGCGGTGCGGTATACGTGATCTATCCACTGCTGATGCTGCGCTGTTGGTGTTGAAACGGCAAAAGATGCAAACGTATCGCGTATTATTATATACCTATAATACCTATATAGTATATATATATATATATATAATGTAAATAATGATAATACGTGCACGTAACGCGCGGTGCCGCAAACAGAGTCAAAATCGGACGTACCTAAGGTTTTTTTTTTCACCCCACCCACGTCGTCTCCTCGGTCATGTGCCACCGCAGTTACCATAGTATACCGATCGGCGATGGCGGTTGAGGGCAAAGGGGAATCGATCGTGACCGGCACGACAACTACCTATAATAATATCGCGAAAATCGATAACCGCGACGACAACGACAATGACAACGACTACGACGACGGCACATAGATATATTATAATACAATATAGTAGCATTTATAACACCTACTGTACATTATGTATACACGTATAATACGTTAGGCGTGCGTTGGCGGTGCAGTACCGAGCAACCTGAATATCATTGGGGTTGGTGACCAGTGATTACTGTATAGTTTAGCGAACAAACTGTTTCGGCCGTATGTACCTATAATAAATTGTTCGTCGCACGGCTATTTAAACCGAGTTATAGAAATCGGCAAACAATAAAATACCGTATACGCGTCCGCTGTCTGCTCGGTTACCGGTAATCCACCGATGTATAGTGGCTATTTGAACGAGCGATTTTAGCGATCGATTTTCCGCGAGTTTTATCGCCGAAACGCGCCAATTGATACTACTCCCATACGGTGGGGT